ATAACATGGGCATAGGTCTGAGTTGATCAATTGGCAGGAGTATGAATGTGATCACCCTTAAAAGTGCTAAAGCTGTGCAAGCTCATCTATGATAATCAAATGGGAGAACATATGCAAATTCTACTACCTCTGTGCAGCAAGTGTGCGAAGATCTACAAAAATTTGCACTTACACACTGATTTAAAATATGAAGAACATGATCAAGCCTTTTATTTCTCATGTATATGGCACATGCTAAAGAAACTCAGGATAAGATATACCAAACCAAATAGTTACTTATTTGAATATGTTATTCTAGTGGGTTCCAAGTCAATTTCAGTCACTCTGGAAGTTTTTCATGTTGCTGTAAATGCACTGTTCAATGGTATATTTAAACAATTCTGGTTCTTTAAAACACAAAGTTTGGACAAGGAGCTTTCTTCCTATTATAGAGCCATAGTGCCTAGGCCTGCTTTATGATGTGAAATTCTTAAGCCCAGAAAAGATACCAAACATTTGCTCAGATTACATTCCCAAAGTATTTTACATTTTTAACTCTTTGTTGGGATCTAATGCCATTAAGGTTTCTGATTTTCAAGAAAGCTGTAATTAAATGAGCAGAAATGAGCTGCCTCTCCCTTTCTAATAACCTCTAACAACCTCTAATAGATGTTAGTTCAGTGCAATAAGTTTAAGTCAAAGCTTATTTAAAAAAAAGTCAGAATGAGGCTCATTATATAATAAGTTTTATTAACAATACGGTACATTAGCATTTGTTTTGAAAAGCTTAGGCCTTGCTAAGCAGTTTTAATCAATTCAATTATGTAAAGCTATTTGCAGTACAGAAATCAACTACATTCACACACAACTTGAATTTAATCCAGTCAACAGTCATGTCAAATCTACAATTTACCAAAAATACAAAGTTGATTTTCTAATAAAAGCAAAAAATGTTGTTGTGGTTCAGTAAAACCCATTTTCTACTACAGAGTAAGTTGCACCCATAACTAAGCGTGGGACAAAGAAAATACTTTCTAGAAGCCCAGAGTAAGACTTACACTTTCGTAACTATGAATTGCCATGCAGACTTCTTGTTTATAAAAAGATTTGCTAGGTCCGAATTATTAAGCTAATTTTTGCTAGAAGTTGGTTTATAAAAATGATTCTCCTTTTATACTAAAAATGTCATTATGTAGAATTTTCTATCCACCTTCTCTCCCAAATGCTATTTGTCTGATTTGGAATACCGTCCTCAGGCTCCTATCACAATTGCTCTATTGGTGTAGTTATCATAAACAAGACTTACCAAAACCATAACAAAAGTTAAATCTGCTAACTTTCCTTTACAGAAAGACAAATAAATGGTGTAAATGCAACACATATGCTACATATACATTTATGCTGCACAAACCCAGTTTGTAGATTCATATGTACATCTATTCTGTAAAGGATCTATGGCTGCTGCCAATTCAATTGTTCTATCAAGGCACTACACAACCATTAAACCTCTAATATTCTCCAAGATGCACTGAAGAACATTTATGAATGTGTTTAAGTTGTTAAAAAGCCCTGAGTCAGAACTTTCATACTTACTGCAGCTATAGCTATAATAATGGCACACAATAAAACTTTATAGACAACAGTATTTTACTCTGTGAACAAAACACATTCTGTATTGTAAAAGGAAAATAGTATATGAATTCCAGCAACTTAGGGAAGGGAAACAGGAATGTACAGTACTATGGGGAATGATACATTCCTCCTGTACATCATTTATACAGTCAGCAATAATCCTTAATGTCACACCTAGTCAGGCACCAAAACTGATGTATCAAAACTAAATTGTAGTGTTTAAGAAAACTCCCGCTCCTTTCCAAAGGTAAAGAACAATTACTGTAGAACTGAACACTTGGACAGAAAAAAGGCAGAGTTACTAAGAGTAACATTGTAGTGGTCTGTAAGAACTTCCGTCTGTGATCTATTCAACACAAGTTATGGTCCAGGCTCTACACAATTCACCAGCAACTATTAACAGAGCAAAATGTAACTTTTGACATTTGCAATATTGTCGAGAAGCTCAGAGAGATCGAATAACTCAAAGCAACTTTCTCAAACAATTTAGTGTTTACACTAGCCACAAATTGTAAGTAATACTGCTATAAATAAATAGGCATACCTTAGTAAAACTCCATCTCTAGATAATATCTACACAGTATCAGTGAATATTATCACAACATAAAGTCAAGATCAAATCAGATTCTATTTAAAAAGCTAGTTTCACAAGTCTGTAGAACTAGATTGAAAACATTTTTAAGACTATGTTAACAAGGCACTCAAAACTTTTCTATATTCCAATTTGGCTCAAGTTTATAGTTAAACTAGTTTTTGAAGGAATTTTCACATTTACAAAGTAACTTGTGTTTATTACCTTTCCAGTTTAATTTTTTTTTTTGGTACCCATTTTTTCTTAAATGGGAATTTGTCCTAATCTAGAACTATTTAACTAGTATTTTAACAAAAAGAGGAAAGCACATAGCTGTGACTCAAATCCTGCAAAGTGCCAAATGCCTTGAATGTAGAGCAGAAGATATTGAATATCTTTAAGTAATGGGCCTGAAAAGTCATGGTACATTATTGGGGGGGAAAAAATAGCTGGAAAGTTAAGTGATTAAGTTCTGACATCTTTAAGCTATTTAGCTTACTGTACAGACCCCTCAAATTTAAAATTAAGGTCTATTCATAGTTCCTTTACAATACTATTGTGTATAGCAGCCATCTCCAATTTAATCTTATTGATTACCAAACAGAAAGAAAAGATGTTCAAGCAAACTTTTGAGCATACTTTGCACCCAAATAATAAACTATAATGTAGCTATCTTCTTGACTGTATTTCAAGAAATAAGTCATTGAAGAAGTTCCTCCAACCAATTCCATTCCCAAACAACTTTTAATATTGGGGAATTGTTCTAAGAATAACAAAAGTGATATCTGCAATTCTCAAACATGTATATTAAATCTAATTGTCTATTTACTGATTCTTTATCAAGTATTTGTTCCCTGTTTCAGTAAAATCTGTACAGTGATTCACTCACAGACATACACTGACCCATCCTCATCTTTCCCTACTTGCTATGATCCCCACCTATCTTCTGAGCCTATTATCCCCCCCTTCCCCGTTTTAAAACAAAGGTATCCAATAGAAGTATGCAAGCCTTTCAGACAATATCAGGCTGCAGACATACTGTTGCTAAGTGACGTGAATATACTGTATAATATGGTCTGATACAGCTGGTTTCTTCAAAGCTACCTAAATCTTTAGCTTTAACATACATTACAATCTGAAGAGATGGTGTACAAGTCTAAAGATCTATTTACATATGCTACAATGTTTTGGCAAACATTTCTTAAAATCAATTAAAAATCATTTTCAAAGTACTATATCTGACTTCATAATGTCAACTGGGATAAACTCTCACCTGTAAACAGAATGCCAATACTAGCACCTTAAACAATAAGCGCTACAAAGTTAAACTGCTTAATTACTTATTTTAAAAAGCAGTTGTCTAATTAAACTATTTGGCTTGAATTTGTGATAATATCGTTACATTTTTTACATGGAATCATGCATGCAACACTGCTCAACCAAGTTGAATACAAAAAAAGAAATGTATAATGAGAGGTCTGTATGTGTTGATGGGGACAAACCAGGGACCATGGTGTGGAAAGGACAGCTCTTGGAGCAGCACCTTTATATGTGTGTGTGTGTGTGTGTGTGTGTACACACACACACACACACACACACAATCTATGGCTATCTTACAGCAGCTATAGTTTTGTAGTGAAGAACTGTTGAAAAATATAAAGCAAACAGTGAACTGAACTCCTCTATCACGGGCACACCTGACCTCTGACTGAACTCCTCTATCACCTGACATCTGTGCTCCCCACAGATGAAGTACGCTCAGCATTGCTACCCTGCTTGCCTTGATTTAGTCCTTTAGGAAAATACTTAATGCCCTGTAAAATTTGGTTCAAGTATCGGTTGCATCATCAGATGGTAACATTTGATCAAATTAATTCAGACAACCTGAAAAGATCAGGCACATAAGACATGATAGAGGGTGAAATCCTGGTCCCATTGAAATGAACACCCACTGACTTTAGTAGAGACAAGATTTAATTCAGACTATTTAAACAGCTGAAAATTGCATGAAAAAATAGGATCTTACCACTGGCTTGTTCCAAAGCCGAATGCTAACAAAACCCTAGCAATGTTATACAAATATTGACTGCTATGCGGTAAGTAGTGCATTGAGCTACCATACTGGGGTTTTGAGTTAGAACTGCATTTACCAAGAGATAGTGCAGGAGTGGTGATCAACTGTTAATCAAGTACTTTGTACTGAGCCTTTATGGAGAGGCCTTTCTGAATAATTTAAGTATGAAACAGTGCTCAAAAATATGTCTGCCCTGGGTTAAAGAAAACCACGTCACAGACCTGATACAAGAGAATGAAATTCATAGCGAGGGGTCCAGTGTCGTGCCATATTAGAGAGAACCAGTTCTTTTGGAGAAGGGTTGACAGGGGGACATGAAGCCAAAGGGTCCTACTGTGCAACACCAGCCACAGAAGCCAGGTGACCCTTATATCAAGCAAGGAAAAATCTGCAGTGGATGCGGAATAGGCTACCAAATCATTTCCCCAAAAACATGGGAAAATCGTACCAGAATTATTTTGATTACACAAGAACACAGAATGTAAGAATTCTCCCAATTCTCTCAGACTGGAATTCAAAAACCTCAGCTAACCAGGCTGCAACTCCAAAAGTATATAAAATTCCTAGAGCTAAAGCAATTAAACCAGTTGTGGGACTGCTAAACTGAGGACGAGATTTACTAACAACCAAAGATTTTATATAGAAGCTACTGGGACTACCTATTTCAGAATAGTGACTCAAAGCACCAAGCAAAACCAAAAGCTATGCAAATGACCAAACACAGAGTGAGATATATGGTATATATGACATATATATGACTGCTGGAACATCAGAACAAAGAATACAGGATTGGATTGTTCAAAACCGAGTTAAAAAGAGCAAGGAACATTTACCTGTTGGAGCAGAAATTTTGGGGCATAGATTGTTTTGTCAGCTAATGCATTATGTATTGATTTTCTAAGAAACCACTGTAGAGTTTCCTTCTACCATACAGGTGTTCTAACTGCATGATCAATACTTAAAAAGAATTGGTAAATTCTTCTGAGATTTTGGCTGAAGTCTGCAGAATTCCAAAGATCAACACCAGCTTATCACAAACTTCAGAAGACTGTGCATTGTGTAAGCATGTGATTTTCCAAGTGAAGAATGCAGACTATGAATCACTTCATTCTCACCTTGATCCTCCCCAGACCAATTCCCACTTTCATGTCCCTGCTACATGTAACAGGAGTTAAATGAAGGAGACCAGTGTTATCTGCAAGTAAGGCACCTAACTGAATCCATTGTGTATTTCACAATCCTTGAAAGAAATTGTCCAAATCAGGGCTAAAAGACAGCAAGCACTGATTTCGTATTCTATTCACTCAGTAATTCAGGTAACTGCTGAATTGCTTTTATATGCCATCATTTGGCTGTAAGAGCTTCGAACTTAACTCCTTTCCTGAAATCCCGACCACCAAAGCCTGAAGAACATTTGGATTGTGCTCTTACTTATGTTTTACAGCTGCTGGTAGTAGTCAAAGAGCCAAGAGTATCTATAAGTGCAATACAAATCCTAGCTAACTCCAACAACCAGTTTCAAGTAGCATATCCATGTGTCAGGAAACCCACAGACTTATCACCACTGTCTTGCTTAATATTAGCTATTAAATGGTCTCTGCTGGGCTCTGAAATTAATACCCCATTGAGATGAGTGGGCAATATATAGTTTACCTCCTTTGCTGTTGATAATTCTTCTGTAAGACTGGCTTAATAGACCACACTGATTTATGTAAAAAATGCACAGTCCGCAACAGAAAAGATGATTTAAAGAACAGCTGCTTTCTACAAAATTCAAAGGAAAAATATACCACCCAGTTTCCTTAGATCATGAGACCCATAATTTCCCTACTCTCTGGTTATACACTTGTTCCCCAAATATTTTAATCAACTACACTCTTTATGTGTGAAATTGATAACTGATCTACACTTTATTTTTCAAATACCTTGTAAAGAAAAACAATGAGTACTCTCCTCTCACAATTCTATATATTAGTTGGTTTTTTTTGTCGACAGGATTAAGAAGTTCCTTATTTAGTTTAATTTGATCCTGTCAGACTGACGTACAGTTTTGGGGGCATAACATTCCTAAAGCAAATTTGTGTTTCTTTCCACTGACATTCTCCTCTAAATCCACACTGAGCATATAGGGCACATTACAGTCAAAGTTATCCATGTGGTTATATTTTGATGTCATCTTATAGGAACTGTATGGTACTGAATACTACTTGGATATATTGTGCTGATTTTGCATTACTGTAACTTTCAAGACAACAGTACTATGAGGCATAACTTTCTGTCATTTGACAATTGAGTATATGCTGAAGAGGTGTCAAACTTGAGCTAAAAAAAATAAATATTTGAAAGCAACTGGCGGTACAAAATCTACATCACTTGATGGCTCATATTAAAGTCCATACGTACATATAAAAACTTTAAAGATACCAAAACAGAAAATCATGATTGTCCCTTTACACTTGGTGCTTTAAGGGGGTGAGGGGAAAAGACTGCTTTATTAATTTAGCCTTATCTTAGCTATCTCTTGATAGTACAACTAAAAGTTGACTGTTCAAATACTGTTTTCTTTTCTGATGTGTTTAGTCTTTAAGCAATTACAATGTAGCACATATGCACTGCAGTATTAGAAATGTTTTCATTAGAACCTTCAACAGCCTTTCAAACTTACAGAGATTTGATGACCAAAATGTACTGACAATTTGATAAGCTAACAGAAGACACTTGTTTTATTGTTTAATACAAAAGGATTCTTCGTTCTATAGCCTTGCGGCATATAGGGCATTCACTCATTCGGTCTCCACAAAGCTGACATGTTCCATGGCCACACAGAAAGATCATATTCTTCAGACGATCCAAACAAACAGGGCACATGGTCTGTAAAAGATTTTGACAAGTTAGGTAGTGGACAGCAATGGTGAGAAAAAAGTATCAAGTATGCATTCTATTAATTGTAGAAAATTTAATATATGCAACTGTTGAGTGAACAGAGATCACTGCACTGCGATAGAGAAACCAAGCCACAGAACGACGACAGATTCAATAACCTGCCTTTTGATATTAAATACAAAATAGTAAATTCACTATTTCATTTAATCCTCAGTATAAATTATTTGTTTTATGAAGGAATAACAACTGAGTTTTTTAAACTCCTTCTCCACAAAATAAGAAAACCAACCCCACAGTAGCTTTCTACACAAATCTGATGGCATCATTTAAGTTCATAGCAGAGTAAATATGCAATTTTCAGCTGCATCCCCCTTTGGTTTCCTTTATACAATTTTAAGGAAACAGGGAAATCTATGAAGCACAGACATTTGTGTATGTAATTCAATGAACAAATTATTTACCACCCATGCCTCAAATTTCTACCTACTCATTTACCTACCTCTCTCTCTCTCTCTCTCTCTCACACACACACCCCCTTCCCCCCCGCCAAGCACCTCATGGACTCAGAAATACTATGAATATGGTTTTGCTTTATTTAAAATAGTTAACAGTCCCAACATACATGCTAAACACCACTGATGTGAACTGACTTTCAATTTTCCTCTGGGAAGTAATTTGCTCTCTGATTTGGAATCCTAAGTAACTCAATATTTTCAGAAGCTTTACCAACAACATTTAAGATACCAGCTTTCTGAGGAAAAGTAACTGGTGTATTCCAATATATGCTTTAATTCTGTACTTTCAATGTTACTTGTAAAGGAATAATCATTACTTGCATAGGACCATATCCTGCACATGTTCTGTTTTTTAGAAATCCAGATAACATCTATGAAAATTTAATGTTTCAATGGAGGGCTGCTCAACTTATCTGAGCCTTCTACTCCTAACTCAGATCCGCACAGCAACCCTTTAAAACCAGTTTTTACTATTAAACATAAAGTGAGACCCAATACCCAAAAGGATCTCTTACAACTGTTCACCATGAAAGTTTGTCCCTTAAGAGAACCATCCTTGACTGTGCCTGCAGTGTCCTCCACCTACATCATATGCAAAAATTCAACTACAAGGCACATGTTTGTTCCTTCACCATAATCACATTAAAGTTCCATTTATAAATGGTTTATAAAAGGGTAATACATAAATAGATTTCTAATAATCAATTGTTACAGACTGTTAGATCAACAGGTTGCTTATAACCACAACTTATATCTACTGAGGAGTTTCTACTCATTCTTAAACTGACATCTATAGTGTGCTTATAACCACCCGAGACACATACTAATGTCTGTAACATGCTTATAAACCATGTATAATTGGACCCTTATTAACAGTGGCCCATAAATACAAATTTATTTCACTATCACCTTGCACTTGTGCACTGTTTTTTCTGATCTACTTTTTAAATCACTGCAGGTTTACCAAAGTAGTGTTACACCAGGGAAAGGTGTACATATCCACAGCAGTGTCCACACAATAAAATGTAAAATTTTAGGCATGCCTTCTATGGAATCAATTAAATGCAGGGACAAACATTCTTTAGTATACTCCTGGTTATCATGGCTCATGACCTCCACATGTTTACACAGAGTTTAAAATCAGAATTTGTCCAATTATCTCTTATTTCAATCTCTGTGAAATCAGCATAGCTAAGGAGCTGCCAGAAGGCATCTAAATCTACACTGCAGTAAGAGACCAGTGGCATAGCCATGACTGGCCCGGGTCAGTGGATTCAGACTCGCCACGCTAAAAATTACAGTGTAGGGCTCAGGCTGGAACCCAGGCTCTGAAACCCTCTGGTAGGTCTCAGAGCCCAGGTTCCAGCCCGAACCCAAACATCTAACTGCAGTTCGTGCGCTTTGAGACCTGAGCGCTGAGATTCATGACAGAGGTTTTTTATTGCAGTGTAGACACACCCACTACCAGATAAGACCTTGAACTTTTTGAATGAATTTGCAAATATAAAAAATTATACATTCTCAACAAGCATATTTCATAATCAAATGTTGTCAGGGCGAGTATGGCATCACCATATCTATTCATGATTTTCAATAACTCAAAGTTTATGTAATTGTCTTCCACTAAAGCACTGCAAGGAACTGATTGTAAATCAGTCATTCCACCCCCTTCCTCACTGAAGCCAAATCCTCACCTGGTACAACTAAGTATCATCCTTATAATTCATAGTATTGTAAAGTCCAAAGTATGGGGAAATTCTTCATTAATTACTTATTAACATTAAATAGCTTTCCTGGGGTGCATGTACATAACTTAATAGTCCTAAAGTATCCCTTTTAGAAGGGATACAAGGTGTAAACCCTAAATCTCATCCTGCAAGAACAGAATTCAAGTCCTCCCCACTGTATGTTCTTTACCCCTATAGTTTGCTTTGGGGTCTGACTATATATCTTACAATTAGAATAAAAAAATCTGTTTCTCTCCAATATACTACAGAGTAATTTGGAAATGTATATGCACATCATAGGACACTGTAAAAGTGTATTCTGCCTAAGCAATGGGGGCAAAAATTTTGTTTTATTTTGTTTACTCATTTCATTGCAGCACACAATTTAGAAGAAATTCCCTGGTGGTATCTTAAACTCAGAAAATAGGTCTTTCTTCAATTGTATGGAGGCACGAGCAGATCGTCCAGATTCTTCCTGCTTATCATAAAAACGGTGAATATTTATTTGTAGAGACCAGTTTCATTTTTCAATGTCATACATGTTTTAGTTTATTTACCTTCACATGGCAGCAGCTTTAAGTAACTTTGCACAGAATGATCAACCTACCTGCCTGCTCTCCAACTGTACTCTAGTTACATGACTATCAGTGCCTTACACCCTGCTTTTGTAACAAGAAGAAGAGCAAACAAAATGGTAGATATTTTGACTATACTTTTAATTTGGCCTCCTGCTTTAGTGCCAAAATTTGGTGTCTATTACCTCAACCCTATATGAATAAATTAGCTGGAGATCTTTTGAGGGGAAACAAATGAAAATTCTGTGCCTGGAGAAAGTATTTGATTTCTTTTTATATATTATGTATTCTTGCTTCTGAAACACCACCATAAAGGCACCCAGTCAGTTCTAATCAGTTGTAATCCACAGAGTTAAGATAGTATGGAAAGGTTTTAGCAATAACATGAGATTATCACTGGGGTATGATATTGCAAATAAGTCAATTTTAGCAGCATATTTTAGTTTTTGTCTGATATGGGTGCCATATTAGAACCTATAACAATTTTTTATTACTGATAACAGTGTTTCCAGGCACAAGATACTGGTGCACAGTGACATTACAATAACTTTAATTTTAAATAAAAAGAAATGACATACATATGGTGAAGGAACATATATAAAGAATTTATTACAGACAGATGAGGGTGATTACGTATGAAATGTGGTGGAGGGAACTGCAATCACAGTCAAAGATGGTTCACATTCAGGGAATCCCTGAAGAATGATGTGGTCATCGTGTGGGGATTTTGCTGACATCAGGCCTCGCTTCTGCTTGGCACCAGAAATGGTTTTAAAAGGTTGCTGCACTAATGTATTAGATTATCACTGAAGACATGAGTTGAAACGTAGGTATACCTGCTGAAAAGAACAAATAAGAAATTTTAAGAACACACAAATACTGAATTTCACATTAGAAGTGTAGCTTTAAAGCAGAAAATGAAAGAAAAATGTTTCAAATGGAACTCTGGATATAACTTCAGGCACATATTTAAGGTACAACTGAAGAATCTTTTTTTTTTTTTTTAATAAAAAATAGCAATTAACTAGAATCTGCAACTCATTAACCCCTCTCACAACAGTAAACAGAAAAGTCACCTAGAAGACAAATTAAAAGATTCCAAATGAGACAGGTCAGCCAGTTCCCTGAGAAACAAAATAGAATTTCAGACAAGCTAGATTTCAAGCAGAATCATTTCAACAAAATAACTACTTGACATGGCAGTCAATTAAGAGATGGTCAAAAACAAGCAGCCATATACATCCTGCTGAGGGGCAAAGAGAATAGTCAAGTGACTATATTTGAAAATCAGCCTAAAAATAGAGTACTGGATAGTAACTGCACTGCAAAAATCCAGGCAATAGAGAATAGTAAAAAATAATTTTTGTTAAACACTGTTACTTTTTGACCAGAAAGGTAGAAAATGAAACCAACAAAATAGCCTCAAATGTTATAGGTAAGAAAGAACTATAGTTTGTTTTAGTCTACCTGTCCTTATACAGGCACAGATTAGGTTGGAAACTGCTTTGAGTTGAACATAAAGATTTTCAATAATGGGGTCTCAGCCAGTTGCCGGGGTGAGGGTAACAATTATTGATAGATGTTAACCTCAGAGGCAAACCTGACAGTACATCAGGTCTCAAATTTTCAAAGGCATTTACAGATGTGGCCCAGAACTAGGTGATTCAAAACCTTCTCTCTGAACTTTCAGGTAGGTCTGTGACAGACAGCCAGGGCTGTCTGGATTAGCTCAGATACTAGCCATCTTTGAAGCACTATACACTACTCTAAATCCACAAGAGATAAAAAGACAATTTAAATGTGAATTAAGTTCTCATCAGTCTCTTTTATTAATCAAAACATTTCAACTGTGACAAATATAGGACAGTACACCTTTAAAGGTAAATCTCCACTGCATGCTTCCCAGCGAAGGTATACAGACATGTGCTAGCTCTGTTTGAGCTGGCATGCCAAAAATTGCAGCATAGCTGAAGGTAGCATGGGCAATGGTTCAGGACAAATAATGTTGCATGATCCCAGCAGACAAGAAGAAATACAATTTTTGGGAGGGACTTTAAAGGGAGAGAAAGGGGACAAATTTAATTCACCACACAAAACGTTTGTCCTCCATGTTAATAAGTATTTAATCTATTCTGTACAAAGTATTAGCTCCTAGATTTAAGAGATTTTTGGCTTTTGCGTATTATAGAAGACGTAAAGAAAATAGTTGCTTGTCTGAATCATTTCACATTAAGTAATTTAAAAAACAAGATCAGGGTTGTCTGTAGGTCACTATTTTAACTTGATCAAGCACTTGCAAAGACATCCATATTCAATTTATCTTTTGAAAGTCTAAACCTATCCAAGATTTTTAAAAATTTTCCTTCTTTATAAATTTTCCAACCACAGAATTTAAAAAGGCTTATATTTCAGATATTTTAAAATCTATATAATCACAAATTTAATTATTACTGCATCTAAAAATTACATATGTAATATTTTACACCTATCAATATTTCATATTGTAGCCATATATAAATATAATTCTCATTTGAGTGTGCTAATGCATTGGGACTGTACATCCCCCCTAACTGCCAACTTGTGCTCAAAAGTGGTTTGTTACTGATTAGGCAGGCTCATAACTCCTGCATCAGCTCAGTGCATACAGTTTTGTGAAGAAAAATGCCCGTATTTAATGAAGTTCTGTGAAAAAAATCTTCACTGTACATTTTTATGAGGTCAAAAGATAGAGTTAATATTCATTGCCTCCCTTCATTTTTATATTTATTGTTTGGGTCACGTAAGCCCATTCAGTTACACTAAAATAGGTAGGCCAAGAAATGAAATATCAAATGTGGCTACTCATTAAGAACACTGTGTGTATAAAAAAGTCAGATAAGTCACAAAAAACCTTTTTAGCCACACTAGAGCTCATCTTTACTTCACAGAACAAAAATGGCTTTGATTAACTAATCAAAAATTAAGAACTGAAGAGTTTAAACAGATTTCCCTTATTTTGTTTTGGTGTTCAATATAAAGGAACATGTGGCACTTTTACCTGTTCCTTTATGTCTTGTAACTGCTGCTGCAGCTTCTGTACATCTGCATTGACATTGGTGTTGTCCTTGTCTTTCTGTAAAACTGGAATGTTTCCACTTGCTATAATGCAGAGGAGAGTAATATTAAAAGCCTAGAACATGTTATGCAGCACTTGCAACAAAGAATAATTACACTTTTGTCCGCTAATCACAAAAATACTATTTCCATTTATCTGAATTATTGAAGCATTACTTCTAGCAAATATATTTTGATAATCAAATTATATTTATTATGACTCACTAGAATTCCATTCCTGAACTAAAAGAATTTACTGGGAAGCTATAACTACATCAGTTTTTGACAAATATTTCCCTCACTGTGACTGTTAAAATGCTAGCAGCTACCTGGAGCTCTATCTACATGAATGCCTTCATGGTTGCTACCCACCAGTGATGCTCCAATGGTGAAAATACTTTGGCAAAAAAACAGCGTAAACACTTCAAGTTATCCACATTGCTGTATTGTTTGATAATTAAAGACTGGGACTGAATCAATACTGCTAAAAATATCATGCAAATATTTATCCAAATTGTTGAACAAACTTGGTTTGACTGTGTTTCCACTTATTTCATGTTCACTTTGTGAATGTTCAGGAACAAGTTTACTGACAGAAACAGCAAGTTTAAAGTGGAAAGTTTCAAAAGGCAAATTTTGAATTTTTAAACTTGAATGTTTCTATTGGAAATGCGATTCTGAGTTATGTTCATCCCATCAGGGATCAAATATATCATGTAGCTATTCCAATTTAAATTAACCAACAGCTCAAATTTCAAGTACTGAACGCATACAATGAACCACACACAGACACACACTACAAAAAATTATTCACATAACTTGAAATAACTCTCAGAATAATTTAATAAATTCAAGAAAATTATAAACTGTTTAAGAACTAGTCAAACAGAAAAAGGCAGAACTCACTGAATAATTCTGATATCACAAATTATTTGGCCAGCTTTATCCTAGAAAAAATGTTCTATTTCCCACTTCTTCTGGGGCTCCTCTGATTAGTCAAAGAGGCCAAGAAGTCAAGCTAACATTTGTAATTCGTATGGGGCCATGTGCTTATGTTTATTTATGTATTTCAATTATATTAACTGGCAATTCTTAGACTTTGTTCCACGTGTCACATAGATATATGGCCATGAAGTTCTGGAAGTTAACGAGAAGGGTTCAAATCATCACTGACATATATACACACTTACGATGTTTCAGCTTCTGGTATCATGCTTCTTGGATATTGAAACAGCCCTTTTCAGACATGGTCTATGCTACAACAGCATCTACCACTATCCCATATGGTGAGTGACAAACAGTAGATGGAAGGCTGACACAAAACTACTTTCTTTAAAACTTTCCTTCAAACGGATGATGTGAGGGATATATAGTCAACCCCCTTTTTTCAATGAAAGGAGACTGGAAGTATTAGAGAAAAAAGAAAAACACTCACAAATGTCATCAGTGGTATCTTCTGTACCTTTCCCTCCGCAACACAAAATGAAAGGCACTCGCCGCTCAACCACTGCCCGGCACTGCACACACTTCTTCATCAGGCTTGCACAGTCTGGTAAAAGCAGAGGTAATTTACACTCAGTAGCCTGCTAGTCTCTTTATTCTTGCTTCTGCGATTCTATCCAGTTCGTTTCATTCTATCCACAAATACACTACATAAAATGACAATGTGTAATTACACCACCAATGGCTGTGTTTGCAAAAAATAATGTAAAAATAAGCATAAACCCTATTCAAAAGCTAGTTAGGACCCAAAGAATCCACAAACAATACTCTGAATGTGACCTGCAAAAAGCCAAATTGTTTGTCTTTTTTTATTTTAGTGTATTTTGAAAGAATAGGTTTTTTTCTGCAAGCAAACTTAAACTTTCAAGGGCAAGAAATCCACAATTTGGAATAAATACCACTTCATCATTAATTAACTCTATTTTACAATGGTACTGCAGAATTTAAATGCAAAATCATGCACATTTCTGAGATCATCTTTGATAACCATGGTGAGAATTAAGGACAGACTAGCAGCTTTTAATTTTTAATTCAGTTGCTTTAGTACCTTATTAACAGTACTGGAATATTTTTTCTATTTTCCAATTAACCTTTTTTAAAAGCTATACCAAAGAAAGTGTATGAATGGGAGAACACCTACTTTCTCTCGCTATCCAAAAATATCCCTTGTTTCACTTACATCCAATGGGCAAATGGGTGTCAGGAATTACTACAAAAAAGATCAAACCCTTTGAAGGGTAAATCTATATCTTTTGCTTGCATTACAGGAGAAAGGCTGGAATTCTATGAGAAGAAAACGATGTCACATGATTGCAGCAACACTGTATTGGGACCCAATGTAAGAGTTGTAAACAGTTCTCAGTGAGTGCTGGGGCACTCAGCAGACCGACTTTCCTTCCTCAAATGCGACAGGAAATAATCTGAAAAAACCTTTCCATGTTTGGAAGCTTCACTTCCTATTACGAAGTAGATATTGGCAACATGCACTTCAATGATCACACCTTTCACCATGATAATCTATCTTCTTGCTATCCACCTCCTGGGGAATTAACCGAAAAGCTCTCTTCCCCCACCCATGCTCTCTTCACTGCACACAATGAAAAGAGTCTGGAGCTGGATGGCTGCGAAGGTAGTGAATATGTCAGACCTGAGTTACAGCAGAGCGGTAGAGATAATGCCAAATTTCCATAGCAAGATCAATTAAGCTCTTGTTTATGGGGAGGACTACCTTCCCTCTCTTATGTATCTCCATAATGTCAACAAATCAATATTCTATAGCAGAGGTGGGCAAACTATGACCCGCGGGCCACATCTGCCCTGCAGGACCCTCCTGCCTGGCCCCTAAGCTCCTGCCCCGGGAGGCTAGCCCCCGGCCCCTCCCCTGCTGTTCCCCCTTCCCCACAGCCTCAGCTCGTCCCGCCGCCGGCGCAATGCTCTGGGCGGCAGCGCTGTGAGCTCTTGCCAGGCAGTGCAGCTGCAGAGGCACGGCCTGACCCGGTGCTCTGTGCTGCATGGTGGCGTGGCTGGCTCCAGCCGGGCGGCGCGGCTGCCTGTCCTGCTGCTCTAGGCAGCGCGGCTGTAACGCCATTAGCCACTGGTGCTCCAGGCAGCTCGGTAAGGGGGAGGGAGCGGGGGAGTTGGATAGAAGACAGGGGAGTTCGGGGTGGTGGTCAGGGGGCGGGGCAGTCAGAGGGCGGGGAACAAGGGGGTTGAATGGGGGTGGGGTCCCCAGGGGGCA